AAAAAGAATATGAATCAGATATAAGTCAGATTATGTTGAATATACAGCTATATGGATGGATTCTAACTACAAACTAAAAAAGGGATTCGAACTACAAACTAAAAAAGTCAGAAATAATACGGTAATAATCGCAAAATAGCACCTTAGATCGGGGATCTATTTAAAACTTGACCTTTTCAGAACAAACACTCTCAGTCAGACGATTACGTAGAAGATTTCTAATCTAATGGGTAGTGTTTGTGGAAAAAACTGGATTACGCGACATCAAAAACAATCTTTTTCCAAGAAAGCTTTTAGATTAAATGCCAGCTGGATCGTGAATGGGTTCTTCGAATTACTCGAGCGCCTCACTAATCGTCTGCCGTGCCCTTTTTGTTCCTATTACCACCATCCATGAAGGCACAAGAAGGGGAAGCACCCGAGCAGGAACGGCGACAATAACAGTCAACAACAAAATTAAAAAAATTTTTCATCAAAAAATCTTTTAAAACAGCTACCTACATATGATAGGGGGAACTATCAGATGGTCAGTCGTACATATCTAATAAAATTTCGACATAAAAAGAAATTCTACCAACTTCGGTCAATTGCCACAAAATGCCCCATTCAATTCGCATTCGGAGCGGAGAAACCTACTGTTGAGGAAAAATTTCGCAAAATAAAACCCCCTCTCCCTAACTCTCGCCTCTGCCCTTTCCCTATCCTACCTATACCGAGTCCTTTACACCTAATCTTCCTCAATTCTACCAACTTCCTACCACGTTTCCAAAAAAAACTGACCAGTTTTTTTTTCCAAAAAAGCTGGCGTGATGTGGGTGGGCGGGGAGGGAAGGGGGTGTTACCACAGAAATGTCAACCACACAAACAGCAAAAAGACACAACATCTTTGCTAAAGACAAATACGACCCACCTCCCCCCCCCCTTCTGCCACCTTCGACCAGGAGGTATGACTTCCTCGTTGGGCTCCAAGGTACAACGTGCCTTTGCTAGGAACCCTTTCACCAAACCTTTTGGACGTACTTTGGCCCATATATCGCTTCGAATAAATCAGCCGGGGATTAGTTCGATGATCTAGCCCACAGACGAAAAAAGCAACATAAAACGAGAGGATGTGGAAGCCCAGTAAGCCATCTTGTATTCCGATTTCTAAGAATTACA